AAGTCGATTTAATAGAATTACAATCATGTGCTGATGGTAAGTACAAGTGGTTAATAAATTATCGGGAGCACTCTACCAAGTTTCTGTACTTACGGCCATTACGAACGAAAAGGGCCACAGAAGTGGCTATTGAATTGCTAAAAATTTTCCTTGAACAAGGTGCTCCAGTTATCTTGCAGAGCGATAATGGTCATGAGTTTATCGCTGAAATAATTAAAGAATTGATTTTGTTGTGGCCAGACTGTAAAATCATACACGGTCGCCCAAGGCACCCCCAGAGTCAAGGTTCCGTGGAGAGATCAAACCAAGACGTCGAACAAATGCTGAGGATGTGTATGGAAAAAAAGCAAACTTCGCGTTGGTCTGTACGATGCTACTTTGTGCAATGGCAAAAAAATATATCATATCACCGCATCATAGGATTAAGATCTACTAACCTTCAACTCGATATCATTAGCGATGAAAAATCATTACCAAGAGTAAATGTCGATGATAGAACAGAAAACCACCTTCAAGGAGTAGTTGCAAATAAGGAAACTTTGAATGAATCTGTGTGTTGTCAACTTGATGCGAATGTTATGGAAAGGGAAGAGGAAATGTGCTAAGAAACGATATGCTATGTGATGAAAATTTTAACAGCGATACTGGTTCTAATGTTATAATGGACTGTAGTAATAATTGCTGTGTTTGTGGCGTGGAAAGCACAGACGTATTTCCTTGCAGCAAATGTAGTAAAAAAGTACACGTTACTTGTGGTTATGTAAAGAACAGAGATAGTTCCAGCAGTAAAGTTACTTGAAGTCTCTGCGCGAGTGAGGAAAGTATTAAATCTAATAGAAAGAGGTTTTACGAAGGTCAAGAGAAAGCCGCGGAGTTAATGAAGAAGAAGAGTAGAATTCTTTTTGATGCTTTGGAAATAGGAAAATACGTAACTATTGCAGCTCCAAAATTTGATAGAGGTCCATTGAACAAAAAGAATGTAGAAGGTAATAATAGTTTCTTTTCTGAGAGAAAATTTTTTAATGATTCATTTTTTTGCAGGTATTATAACAGAATCAGCGAATAACGTCTATAAAATTGCTACTAAAGAAGGGATTTTAAAAAATTGGTTAAGTTGAAGCGACCTGACACCAGTGTCTTTAATATCCTTTGAATATAAGGATGTTCCCCAGGATGCTTTATTTCTTTAAGAGAGGCCTACACTTCACAATCGCTGTTTTCTGGGCAAGGGATGTCAAAATGCCAGTGCCAGCCTTCGAAATTTCAGTGCAGTACAGAAAGGTGTACTTGTTTCAAAAATAAGATGATGTGCAATAGTAGATACCATTCCAGCAACAATTGTCAAAACAAGAAAATTTTTGTATTTAGTTTATTTGTATTTTTATTAAACTTAATAAAAGTATATGAAACTGTTATGCATTTTTTTGAAAATGATACCTAAATAATTTGACTCGTTTGACACTCATTAGTGATTTTAATTTAAGAAAAGTAGGTTGATAACGATTGGAACTACTTTATTTTATTGTGGACAGGTACCTACTCTATATTGCATTGTTGTATTGAAAAAATGGTATTTGCCTAAAACAAGCTCAGTCAGATACTATTTGTCTGGTCCAATAGTATTTGCCTAGACATTTAATGATAAAACTGCAACGAACTACTGTTTGCCTAGGTAGACAGTATCTGACTAGGAAAAAGGTATCTACTTGAAATAACCATTTGCCTGCGACACATGCATTAACTCTTCTACCCATGCTCTCTATTAAGTGATCGATGTGCTTCTGAGGTATCTCGTTCTATGCAACCTCTATATGATATCAAAGATCATTCAGATTCTCAGGAGGCCTGGGTCTTAGTCGTCGACTCATCATATCATGTACCACAGCGGTATGGGGTCTTGCATTATCCTATTGGAAAGTGGCATTTTGCAACGTCTGCATGAAACATACTAACACCGGTTCCAGAACGTTGTCGCTGTTACGTCGTGCATTTGATGTGCCTGGAATGAACGTAAGGGGTGACCTTCGTTTTTCAACGAACTGCAAATTCCGTATTTCCCCTCGATGTCGCCGTACCCTTCTACGACCACCATTCACCCATAAACAAAACCTTGATTCATCACTGAAGACAATGTCATTCCATTGATGAACCCACCCTTGCCGTTCTTGATACCATGAAAATCTGGCTGCTTTATGGGGAGGTGTTAATGGAAGCTGAAGGTAAGGACGGTATGAATGAAGCCCAAAAGAAGATATTCTTCTGTAAACAGTTGCCATCGACAAATGTTGGTTCAAAGCTCTCGTCCAATCCACAGCAATCGACCTTGTTGTATAAAATCGATCCCCGGTAGCCATCCACTTAAAAAGTCGGTGTTCACGTGCGTTGCTTCTTTGAGCGAGTCTTCCAGCAGGACGGCGCCTCTGAATGCCTTCTTCGGACCATAAAGACCATACCCGAGCAACTGTAGTGTGGTCCCGATTCAGCCTTCTCTGTATCTCTCGAATGAGTGACGCGCCTCTTTTATACCGATAATTCGGCCCCTATCAAAGTCATTGATATGAGCAAAATTTCGACGACGTCGCGTCGCACTGGGGACATTACAAGGCATCTACTTGACAGTTTGACAATCAAATAAACTGACATTTTGTGGGCTGAAATTCATTAATTGCTAGCAAGAAAATATTGAAAGTTGGAGATAACAATGGTACAGGAAACATAACAGTAGAGTTTTATCAGCGGAAACTTTCATCGTGTCTTAGTTGACAATAAAGCATTATTTTACCGAAGTATCAGAATTGTAGTTTGAATTTTAGTGGGTGCTGGATTTCATATGGTATGATTATATATTCTGCTTTTCAAAAACTTCGAAGCTTCAAGAACTTTGAAATTATGTAGAATCAGTTAGTCCATGTAGACAAACAAACGATTAAAAAATTTCAAAAATTGCGGAAGGAAAGTGCGTGTTGTTGAATAGTATTTCTCGGAGTAATTCGCCGTTTGTTTGTGATTGTTGTCATTGCATTGGTAAAGTTAGTGTCTCAAAAATGCCACGAGTTCGAACGATACGAGCAATTGGTCGCAGAGTGTCTATGAGTACGATTTATCGTCGAGTACGCATATTTGAGTTACGTTCATATCGTCCTTATTTTCGTCTTCCTATGACTCAACAACATAAAGATGCCAGGCTGCAGTGGAGCCAAAACCGACAACATTAGGAACATGAATGGGAAATTATCGTCTTCAGCGACGAATCCCGATTTTGCTTATGGAATTCTGACGGACGTTTACGGATCAGACGACCTAGAGGTCAGAGGCAAAATTTACAGTTTCAGCGTCAGTTCAGCGTCACCACACGGCTCAAACTCCTGGTGTAATACTGTGGGGAGCAATACACTGCGGTGGCAGGTCTCCTTTGACATTCATTCAGGGCACCCTAAACGCGCGCCGTTACATTGACGCCATTCTGAAGCTCGTGTTAGTGCCTTTCCTCCAAGACCTTCCAGAGCCCGTCTTCCAACACGATAATGCGCGACCTCATATTGCTCACGTAACGTTAGAGTTCCTAGCACAAAACAATGTTCTGCAATTGCCTTGGCCGGCAAGATCCCCGGACTTAAACCCTATTGAACATGTCTGGGATATGATGGACAGAAATTTGCGTTGATTTCCCCATCCTCCCAACACTTTAGAGGAATTACGTCAACAGCTACAGGTAGCCTGGAATGAGCTGCCCCAAGAGGCAATCGACCATCTGATTTCCAGCATGTCATGAAGGGTTACTGAATGTATAAGAGCACGCGGAGATGTAACACATTATTAACGATATTGTCAATAAATATTGTCATTTGTTTATGAAAATTTAATCATTTGTTTGTCTCTAGGCACTAACTATTTCTACGTAATTTTGAAGTTCTGCGTCTCCTCCTTCGGGGTGGTTCATTTCTTTTGAAACCCAGTGTAATATTATGATGTGCAAATGATTTTTTGTAATAATAAATTTTTAACTTATTAATTATTAAAAATTGTTCTATTGGAATTTAAACATACAGTAATGTTATTTAGTGACCTTGATAAAAGAGTTTTAAAATAAGCTGTGAAAATTTTAATAACAGCTTGTAAACGTTGTACAATTTAATTCGGACCTTAAAAATTCCTCAGGTTTTTCAAACCTGTTTCCGAAATTAATTACCCCCGTGTTTAGATTCGAGGAAGCTGTTCGTTATTACATTTCGGGATACATAAAAACCTTAACTACCGTATTCGCGGTATCGTGCAGAAGCACTAACCGTTAATTATTCGCGAATAACCTCGCCTCCCGGAGTTGTGTTTACTTGATCTCGGTTTATTTTAGCTTCGGGGCCGAGACGTATCGGCCCGAAACAGTATATAGACGTCCGCTAAATGTTTAGATTTGGAGGGCCAACTTTTCGCGTCTCGGTTATAGCTTTATCAAATTCATTGCGATCGCGAAATTTACATTAGCCGTGAGGTAAACAGTCGGAGACCGAGGTTTGAAGCAAACCAGATCGCCCCTAAGCCAAAACAAAATCTTTGAAAAACACCTCTATACCTTTTGATGTAAAAAAACTAAGCGGGAAATTACGCTTTTCCCCTCAGAATGTTTATGAAAAACGTCCGTTCCGGATTACTTTTGGTTTTCCTCTTTCGAAAGTTATTGTTTTGACGTTCGGACGTCACAACCTGTCTAAATAATTAAGTGAACCATTCCATTTAATTGATGTTATTTTAAAAGAAACCACCAGTAATCAATGTCATTTAATTTAAAAAAAGGAGATGTAGAAAGGTTCATTAGCGAGTCGTACTCATTGACTTCTTTACTTCTTGACTTCTTATCGTCCTTGGTGGTCCAATATCATTTAAATAGTTTTACTTTTAAAACAGGTTTTAAAAATTATCCAATTTTATTTCATTTTATCTTTTTTAAAACTATTTTTAGTATTTCCACATATTTTGTCTTATAATAACCAAAATTTACTTACCTAAAAGTCCACCAGATGTTGAAGCACATGGTATTAAGCCAGAAGAACGCCGACAGGAAGAGGAAGTGCATCGAAAAAGCTGAAACAAGAAGAAATCATTGAAGACGTGGCGTCTTGATTTTTAAAGGTGTCTGAACATCGGCCAACGAAAACAGATTTAGCGATTATTATGTCATTCGAGACTTGGGTTTGTTTTCCTTGCCACCTTCATCTTGTGGCATGTTTGTTTGGTTAAAGATGGGATGGTCGCGAAGCAGTGAAAGCCGTTCATTTCACGACGACGTAAATAGTTAGTTTCGCTTTCCAAGTCTGAACGTATACGGAGTTTGCAAAGTGAACGTGTGCGTGCGATTACCGGATCGTTTTAGCGGATCCATAACTTTACCGGCAGCTTTTAAGTTGTTAAGCGTTTTAGCGTGATGGTTTTATTGGTAGAAAGGTTAAGGCGCAACCAAGACACGACCATGAAACGACGATCTTGAACGTTAAAACTATTTTTAGTGATATAATGGCTGTGAAAATTAGTTGGTTAGGGTTAATGGGAGCTAATTGAGACGAGTGCGAAAGAAAATTAATGGGCATTTAATGAACCGATTGTTTAAATAGTCGTCTTACTTTTTTAGATTTTTTTAAAACTTTTGTTTATATTTCTTGATAATGACATGTTAAATAAGAAAAGTTGGGGATTTTTAGTATCGGGTTATTTAGAATTATTATTCATATTTTTAATGTGAGAAGACTAATATTACAAGTATTAAATTAGCTTTGACTATGAAGGCAAAGTTATGAATTAGCGTTAACATAACTATCATCATTTCCGGCATAGTAGTGTAGGAGTTGACGAGATAGGTTTATACATGCTCCAAAAATAATCGGATAATAAATTAACTTGGAGACGGTAAGCCGGATATAATTTCATCGCCTTGGTAGGAAATATTTGGATAGTTTACAGTGCCGCTATACATAATAATAATATGCTAACATTTTCGTGTGACTTTTATATCTGTTTGCAGCGTTTTAATGTATTCTCAATGATATTATAAAACATAAATATCTCCAGTTTCAATATAGGAAATTTTATAAAAGTAACAAAATTTATGTTTCACAATTCATAATATTTCAAAGTAATAGTCTTTAAATGTGTTGATTTATTTTTTAAATTTTTGTTATCAACCCAATTTTGAGCACAAAATGGTTTTTCTAACATCGTTAACCTATTTGTACCAATTTTAATGCTGTTTCCTCAATCTACAATGATTGAGGAAATCCTTTCGTATTTGAAGTTACTAATTAAATTTTACTACCTTGAATTTTATTAATGTAGACTCAGTACAAGTAAGGTAGGGTTGCTTAGAAGAACTTGAACTCGTTTGTATATTTTGGATAAGTTGAGCTATTTTCGTACACGATACCTTAAAAGAAAGCTTAAACAATAAGGATTTTAATGGGACATAACTTATTTTAAGCTATTGTGATAAACGTTTATCGTCGAGTTAATTGATAGAGCTTCAAATATTTGACGGCATTTTAGGCATTTTTATTTTATATCATCTGAATAGATTGAAATATTGTGATGTTTGATTATTTTAAACGAATGTATAATTTACAAGTATTTCAACATATGTCTTATATCCACAACGTTCAGATAAAACCACAATAATTTAATTACTCGTTATAGCTTAAAACTGTAAAAAAAAACTGTATCAAGATATTTCAAGGCGTATTAATTTAAACGAAAGCTTTAACAAAGAATTCATGACAATGTAATGTGTTATATATTTGAATTATATCATATGAGTTAGATTGGGTTAGTGAGATAGGTGTTTATAGTAAAAACCAGGTTTTGACTCTATCTTCTATATCATCTGGAAAACTTGAGATATTTTCATGTGTGATATTTTAAAAGAAAGTTTAAGTAAGGATTTTAATATGACATAGTAAATGTTCAACTATTTAACACTAAACTGGGTACTTTTGTTTTGTGTCATCTAGATAGACTAATACACTTTGATTCTTGATATCTTAAACGAATATATAATTAATAAGGATATCAACGTAACATGTCTTGCCTGTCTAACATCTAGAACGTTTACTATCAGGTTATTCATTGTAATTAAAATAAAAAAAACTTTGATAAGCATAATTCCTTTTGATAACGATAGGGACAACCAAGATATTTCAAGATATAATACCTTAAAAGAAAGCTTAATTAATAAGGAATTGATAGCAATATGACGTGATATATTTGAATTAGTTTATATCGGTAAGGTTGGGTCACTCAAAAAGGTGTCAATCGTAAAAACCAGGCATTGATTATATTTTCTATATTTCTTGAAAAAATGGAGATATTTTCATGTATAATATCTTAAAAGAAAGCTTAAATAATGGGGATCCTAATCTGACATAACTTGTTTTAATCCATTGTGTGAAACAGTAATCATCGAGTTTATAGGTAATGCTTCAAGTGTTTAATACTAAATTACACCTCTTTATTTTATAACATCTGAATACAGTAAGATATTTTGATACTTGGTATCTTAAACGAATGCGTAATGACTAAGGGTTTTAACGTGATATGTCTTGTTCGTGTCTAATATCTAGAACGTTTATAATCAGGTTACTTATTGTACTTAAAATGGATGAAACCGTGTAAACATCATTCCATTTGATAATTATTGGGAAAACCAAGATATTTCAAGTCGTGCTATCTTAAAAAAAGCTTAATTAATAAGGAATTAATGACAACATAACGTGTTATACTTTAATGATTTTAAATCCGTAATATTGGGTTAGTCCCAAAGGTATTAATCAGTGAAAACCAGACTTAAGAAAGCTTAAATAATAAGGATTTTAATATGACATAAATAACATGACAGAGTTTCAAATATTTAATACTCAACTGGGTCTTTTTATTTTATATCATCTGAAAAGATTGAGATGTTTCGATGCTTGATATCTTAGTCAACTGTTTAATTAATAGGGACTTCAATGTCTAATCAGTTTCTAATGTTTAACTGTGTTAAATGTAATTTATTTTGATAATTATCGGGAAAATCAAGATGTTTCAAGACGAAATATCCCAAAAGAAAGTTTAAAAACAAAGAAAAGAAAGAAAAACAAGTTCTAATTGTTATAATTCAATATCTGTAAAGTGGGATTACTCAAAAAAGTTTCAATCGGTTAATAACACGCTATTTATTGTGGTTTGAGATATATTCCTTAAATCTTAAATAAGAGCTAAAGTAGTATGAATTTTAATTAAAGAAAACGTCATTATAGCCAACATATTGACAACGGTAACATTTTTAAAGTGGAATTGGTTTGGACATATCATGTAAAAAAGATCTATAGACAACAAATTGTACCCCAAAGGACAAACCCAAGAAAAGTGGAACACAGAAAATGCGATGACTAGATGTAGTTAGAACGTTTACTGGTGCTCATAGGACGTCAAAGGGTCGAAACCATTACGAATTGAAAGAACTTGGGTTTTTCCAAACTAAATAAGAAAAGAATTTTCATTAATAAATTGATTATTGTTTTTTTTGTTATTATTGGGAAATATTTGGGTTTAGGTTGTATTGCTACATTAATGTTTCTTGGAATAAAATCTATTATTAATACAATTTTTGTAAATCAACTTTGAAATCGGTAGAAATTAATAAAAAGATAATAAGCGAACAAGATCAATTTTTTCATTATTATTTGGACAATGCAATAAAAAATGATTACTATACACTCGATCATAAAGTTTATACAATTTTAACGATAATTTTTCGTATCAGTTTATCCCAAGAATGAAGGTCGACTAGAAAAAATAACTATTTCTTTTGAAATTTCCTGTATACACGAGTGTACTCGTGTATAGCAATAGTATAGTGAATAGTTAGTAATTCTATCCTAATTACTGAAGGCATCGATAAGAAGAAGACCTCTGTACAAAGGCCCCATTGTCTGAAGAGGTCACCTCTTAACAAACCCAGTGTCAGACCAATCCATTTTGATATGAACAACTACACGAGGATAATTATAGATCGATATGTCTTACAAGTTAAAATCATTATTTGTACGCAAAAAGTGTACAACACAGTCGCATTAAATTCTCACTACAGGGAATCCAAGATGATTTTTGCGAACCCAGGATGTTTAGATGATAAATTCGACTTCAAGTTCGTCATTTCCGACATGTGTGTTTACGTTTCCGTGCAATAATTTCAGTACAAAAAAAATTTGTTTAAAGATGTCTTATTGTCGCTTTAGCGATTTTTTAAAGTCTCAACTTAACTAATGTTGTTTTGTCGTTACTCCAACGGTTTATTTATAGAGGGTTCAACATGAGAGTTGTATAAACAAATAAAACCTGTACGTACGTGTTATTTAACTCGATGTGTGCGTTTTTCGATGTAACAGTGAAATTTGAACTTTTTTTTACTTCTTCGAGGTTTATTTAATTACGTTTTGAAATATGAAGTTTTCTAACATCCTGTATTTCGAGTTATATTTCTTTCTAAAATAAAATGATCAAATTCCAAAATATTTTTAATCGTAAAGTTTAACAGTGTAAAGAAAAAATAAAATTAGCTCTAGAATTAGATGTTTTCGTTTAACAGGAGATTTCCAAGACGTCTGTTTACAGATCTCATTTATGGTGTGGATAATTTACGGTTATATTGTTTATAATTTTTCTTGATGTTATATCCGAATTTGTTCCAAAACTTGGTCGTTGAATGTATAAATAAACATTAACGTTAAGTGTGGCTTTGTTGTTTGATGTTTTTGCCAAGATTGATGCACTAGAAACTTTTCCAAAACATACAGGTTACAAAAATTTGAAACCTATTAAATTTTTTAATACTTCTAAAACTCTTAACGAGAATAATAAAAGTTTTTAAACTCAAATAATTTATTTCTGATTTTTAAGGTCTTTTGGTTTTAGTTTATACATGTGTTTTGAAATTATTTTAGAAAGTAAGATTGAAATAAAACGTAATTCCATAAGCGTGACTCCTATAATAACAAGGTAGATGAAGTATCACGAGCGTCTTGAATATTAATCATAACGATTTAGTGCTTGCGTCT